TTTTATAGTATATTATTAATTTTAAATTATATATTTAATAATGCAATATCTATGTAAATATTACATATATTATTTTGTGATATTAATTGCAAGCATATTATATATGTACATATTATTTATATTTTTAATTTGTATTAATATACCGTTTAACATGTAATTTTTTTATGTATTTTTTTACAAAATAAAAATAAAAATAATTTTAAATAAGATAGAAAAATTGAAATTTAAAATAAGATATGAATTTATTAAATTTTATAAGTATAAAATATATTTAATATGAATATTTTTTAATAAAAATAAATAAAAATCGAGTCATGCGGTTCAACTAGTGACCCACCGGTTCAACCTTTGACCCACTGACCCAGTACCTTAACCGGTTCGATGACCGGTCCAGTTTTTAAAACTATGTTACAACATCAATAAAAATAATAACGAATATTTGATGATGAAAGTATCCACGGTTTAATTAATACATGAAAATCATAATTAATAAACGAAATGTATGAAATAATTTAAATTAAAATATGAAAGAGACTCAGTTATGTAATAGAGTACTTACATAAACATTTTTTCAATAAACTAAAAATTTCACAATTTATTGGAAATACAAAATGAAATGCTTATAAGAAAACATTCAAAACATAAGGAGTAGAAAAACAGAAAGCAAAGAAATTTTTTATTTATTTTTATTATTTTCTATGAATACAATACATATAACAATTTTATTATATGGTGGAAACTATTAAAGAGAATAAATGTGAGTCTAGTATTTAGGAAGTATTCATGCTATACTGAGATATCAATAAAAAAATAACTAATTGCTTAATTCATAGGAATAAATCGTAGGTTTTAGTTTTTGGGTAACTAATAAAACAGTAATAAAATATTTTGTTTTCAGAAAACTAATAGGGCACAATTGATAAATATGTTGGGATACAAACAAGTCCCACATCGATAAAATAAGACAAAAAATAACAATTTATATAATACAAACATACTTTAATGTTAGAGAAGCCTTTTGGATGATGACCAAAAGTAAAATCGTGAGGGCTTAGGCTCAAAGTGGACAATATCTCATCATTGTGGAGTATGCTTGTGTAATAACCTTATAAAAAAACACCCATAAAATATCCCATCAGACACATACCATATAATAACCCATCAGTGGTATCAGAGCCGCTGGATTTGGTGACAACCACTAACCCCATAACCCCTCATAAGTCATGCATGAAAGGTTAGGTGCCTTGTTTGAGGGGATGATTGTTGGGATACAAACAAGTCCCACATCGATAAAATAAGACAAAAAATCACAACTTATATAATACAAACATACTTCAATGTTAGAGAGACCTTTTGGTCGATAACCAAAAGCAAAACCGTGAGGGCTAAGGCCCAAAGCGGAACTATCTCATCATTGTGGAGTATGTTTGTGTAATAACCTTATAAAAATAATCATCCTCATAAAAATAATCCCCTCACACAAGTACTATAAAATAACCCTATCAGTGGTATTAGAGCCGCAAGTTGGATTTGGTGACAACCAATAACCCCTCATAAGTCATGCATGAAAGGTTAGGTCCTTTGTTTGAGGGGTGGATTGTTGGGATACAAACAAGTCCCACATCGATAAAATAAGACAAAAAATAACAACTTATATAATACAAACATACTTCAAAATAACACCCATAAAATATGCTTGTATAATAACCTTATAAAAATAACACCCATAAAATATTCCCTCAGACACATACCATAATAACCCATCAAAATATTATGCCTTAATTTTATATATTCCTTCAATACTCCCCCTCAAATTTGATTGAGGGAATTGATTGACTCAAGCTTGGATAATGGACAATGAAATTGTGTGCTTGGCAACATCTTGGTGAACACATTAGTAAGTTGATCATGGCTCCTAGTATAAGCAATTTGAATAACTTGATTTTGAACTTGTTGTCAAATAAAATGATAATCAACTTCGATATGTTTTGTTCATTTGTGAAATATAAGACCCATTGCGATATGTATAGTTGCCTGATTATCACAAAATAGTGTCATAGGTAGACTACATGGAAAACAAAGATCAACATGAAGACCTTTGAGCCATATCATTTCACAAGCAACAGATGCCATGCCTCTATATTCAGCTTTGGCACTAGAATGAGTAACAACTAGTTTTTTTGCTATGCCAAGAGACAAGATTACCACCAACAAACATACAATAACCTGTAGTAGATTTTTGGTCAAGTACATTTCTAGCCTAATTAGAATCATTGTACGCAGTAATTTATGTGTGACCATATTCTTGGTTAGGACAATCCTATGTCTGATAGACCCTTTAAGATATTGCAAGATATGCTTGACAATAGTGAAATGAAAAAGTGTAGGTGTATGTATAAATTGGCTAACAAGACTAACACCATATGTTATGCCCAATCGAGTGATTGTAAGATAAATGAGCTCACCCACCAATATTTGATAGTCATTCATATCTTTTAAGGGTGTACTTGTTTCAATATTCAACTTACTGTCCAATGGAGTTAGAGTTGACTTATAGCTCATCATCTTAATGTCTTTAAGTAGGTCTGAATGCATTTACATTGGTTAGGAAATAAACCTTTGGTAGAAGTTGCCATTTCAATTCCATGAAAGTAGTTCAAGTTCCCAAGATCTTTGATAGGAAAATGAGATTGTAGAACACTCTTGAGATGAGAAATAACA